TATCATTCACAGATTGGTTCGGTATAAATTAAGCCAATTAGGTACAAATCCGACCAAAATACAACTAAGTGTCAAACTGGATCTTCGTCAATATACATGTGCTAAAAACCTAGGATACTATTTGCTCTAATTGAATTTTCTTGCTCAGCTGGTGGCCTATCATTACCTATTTTGTTTTTAGTTTACTTATTTATTCTCTGCCAACCAAAATTCCTCTTTTTGAGTTTCCTAGAATTAGACGAAATTAAAAAAGAGATGACGTGAAAAATTTTGTGAATAGTTTTCTAATGTATCAAATGCATCGTTTACATTTTGATGTACATTTCACTGTGTTATATTGGCTTAACTCGAGTTACTTTACTATTTTTCGTTTAAAACAATGGTACATAAAAACTTTAATTTTAGTTCCATTTGTAGGTATGTTCCTCAAAATTGTATAGGACACGTGGGCAAGAACTCGTAAACCTCAATTACACAATCAATTATGTAAAAAAAATTTAGTCCAATTGATTAAACATGACCGATCTCGTCACAAACAATATCCACCTAGTCTGATCGACCAACCTTAAGCCTAAAGAATATGCATTTCAAGTTTCCAACGGTAGGTATATCAACTGCATAAATGTCACACATGTATGTGCGTGACTTAAGTTCGTCAATATAGAAATTAATTCAGTCAATGTTAGGTAGCATGTCTTGACTTTCGTACTAAAAAAATATAGAACTTTTACCATTCGACGCAAACATCCTCCACAATGTTTTATGAAAACTCACGGCCTAAATGAAGTGATGTCATCGAGTTTCGTAATCTCCATTGAATAGCTCTTCTATTGATACACTAGATGCTCACACTAATGAGTATACTAGAGAATGTTGGATCTCATTGACCTGACCTGACTTTACCTGACTTGATATGAAAATGAATTAAACCGAGATCAAATTTTGAATTAACCTAATTTGGTTCGACTTGATTATCAACATATTCTGGGCTAAACTTAAATGGTCCCATATGTCCCCCACAGATTAAACAAAAATAGCCCACTTGTTAACTAGTGTGGGCTTTTGTGTCACACCAGTCAAGTCTGGGCTCAATTAGGAACTATTGGTTTTTTGTAGGGCTAGGCAAAAAATAAATCAAAATCGTTCAAACCAACGAACCCAACCAACACCGACCAATTTGGATTGGTTTTTTAAGGAGAAAATTACATAAATCCAGATCTTTTAAGACTACAATTCAAAAATCAGGGATAAAGTTTCTCAATTCAAAAATCAGGTATCAAAAATATTATAATACAAATTTCATCGCAATCCCTAATTAATTTCCCATACCCTCCCTCTATATCCCTCCCTCATTTCCTCTCCTCTCACAAAACACAACCGCCATCGTCGTCGTTGTGAAGATGCTACCACTGCTGTGAAGGCGTCACCACCACTACCGTGGTGCTCTATTTCTCTCATGTGAAGACGTCACAGTAGCCAAAAAGCCCAGATCGTCGCTCAGGGTCTCTAATATGAGCTGCAACGCTTAGTTCACGTGGCGCTCTAAGCGACCCTGATCTTAGCCGCGACATTCAGTTCGTCGCTACAATGGCAAATCGGCAACGATTTTATATTACTTTGTGATGGTTTGTGGCGATTAGTGGTGGATTTGTAGTAGCTTTTGAGGTGATTTTGTGGTGGTGTTGTCGGTGTTTTATAGTGGTGTGGTAGTGATTTTGTACGGTCCGGTGATGGTGGTGGTCATGGGCCTCATGGCCAGCGTCGCGA